TGCTACACGCTCTGAACCTCAAACTCGCCTGAAACATCGCGAGACTCTCTCTCATTGGCCGTGAGGGGAGCTTCGCTACCAATCGTGTACATTACCTGGTGATGCAGCTCGCTGGACGAGCCTTCTAACCCAGGTTACTAAGCGATACTGGTAATTAGTGAATCCCATTTAGGTCTCACATTAACAGACTCACAGGGATACCGCAATTGAGTTTGGAGGAGCCGACCATTCGGCATAACAATTGATTAATAATCAGCATTAAATAATAATTAATTAAACTTTAATTAATTTCAAACATATTGGTGGAGATATTAAAAATTACCTGAGCTAATAATTCCTACAAATGGTTCAAGTGAGAAGGGTAAAATAGGTGATACTCTGTGAAACACAGTTATAAGGGTGGCACACAAAATACTAAGATTGTCTAAGGAAACAAACATAACTTATATGGATATTGAGACTAGCACTAATAAGTAAACACATGCAGGGTATATACAGGTCAAACTTAAAAATTTTCTTTAGGGTGTTGGTAGTAGTCCGTGGTTTGTAAGACAGGATGTATGGGGTTGTGTGGCAAGTTGAGGGACCTCTATACAGTGGAACCTCGGATTACGAATAACGCGGTTTACGAGTGTTCCGCAAGACGAGCATGATTTTTAATAAATTTTGACTTGGAAACCGAGCAAGTTCTGGTTTACGAGCGCCAAGTATCAGCAAAAATCATATGGCACACATGCGCTCCTTGTTTTTCTTGTTTTTACGTGCGCTTAGCTTCAAAACAGGAAGCGCATGCATGCGCTTCTTGTTATGACGCCGAGTGCACGTCATCACAACTGAACCAATGGTTATTCACTTTCTCACGTTGCGAAATTGTGGGTAATCATCTCCCATGCTCGGTCTCAGTCGGCATGCCTGACTCGTATAGTCAAAATTTAGTAGAAAAGCACCACCTGAATAAGGGCGTAGCAGTGCGAGCGATGAATCTGTTTAACGACCATGCAATGTCCACATTTTTGTGAAATCGAAAAGGAGGCAAAAGAGGCTATCATTGGATGGGTTCCTTGTTAAAGTCACACAAACAGAAAAAGATTCCAGTGAGCCAACAGATAGCAGTAATTCCGTTAATTATAGTGAAAGTCGTCCTACAAAATAAGGGTGTTGTGAATGGGATTAGGGTTTTTCCCATAGAAATGAATGAACCCCCCCTTTTGTGCCTAGGCCAATGAGCACCTCTCATACCAGGCTCGGCCTTGTCTCAGGCCACCTGGAATCTCAGCCTGGCATATGTGTGTGTGTTCCTACACTTTTTTTTCAGGGTATTTTAATTTTTGACAGGTGAAAATTCATGTTCTGTCCCGTCTCCTCCCACTCAGGCCTGCAGAAGTTTTCCCCAGCTGTGTTCCATTGTTGGTGTTCTCGATTGTACTTTTAAATTTATTTTGTTTTCACTCTGTACTGTCTTTAGACTTTGTCTATTTTGCACTATATGTATGTCTGTCTGTGCTCTACACATTTGCTGTAGTCGCAAGGATTTCCCCTTGGGATCAATAATGTTTATCCTAATCTTGATCTTTTAATGCTGACCATTTTTTTGTAGCCCGTACACACAACTGGTACTCCATGAATAAAGTTTTTGCCAATCGCTACTTTGTTGCAATTAAAATGATGATACTGCCAAGAGCAAGAGGCTGGACATTATTGTTCTGGCTGTTAGCGTGCTGTAAGCCATCGTGCAGACAGTAAAAAAGGAAGTGGTATGTGAAGAAGGAAATGGTCATGTTATAGTCAGGGATGGTTCTGCTGGTTTAGAAAGCTTAAGAAGATGTATTTTAAAATTTTATTAAGACTGTGTATTCTTAAACACAGTTTCATAAGCATAACATGAGCTGAATACAGAATATGCATTTTTATTTCAGTACAACCCAACCCTGGTGTCGTGACTGGGAATGTGTGAATTATACCTTTAAAGACAGCGATTGTTTAAATGAGAAAAACCTTTGATTTATTAAACACAGTCATGATGTTAATTTTTCTATTTATAACAGTTATCGAATGTGGTACTTTGTGGATAATTTTGCACCTCAGACTAATGTAATCTTTCTGTTTTCAGAATATTTGATTCCAGTTGTAGTAGCTGCTTTGGGAATGTGTGCCTGCATATATAGCAGGGATTATTTTTTGATTTATGAAGATAATCTCTTGAAGGGATTTTACTGTAAGTATGACACTTTGTACTAAACCATATTCAGCTTATTTGTCACTGATAATTTATGAGTCACCCTTTAAAATTAGTCATCAGAGTACAGTTAAAATCCATGTAGTTCAAAAAATTTGATGCTCCCTGCTTATATGTAGTTTAAAATTGTAACACATAATGTTGTAATGCATAATGATGCTTATTCAAACATTCATTTGATGATAATTTTTGAGTAAAAATTTACTATTTTTCCTGTTTTCTCAAAAGTATATAAACTGACTTACTTTGTACATAAAAACACTTCAAACCCTTGAAGAAGAACCTTCTTATATACGACCATGATGATACATTATTTCAGTTCATCATCATGAATGTTTCCCTGGTATTTTGCTGCTTATTCCTGGTTCTTTGGAGGCACCATGATGAGGCATAATAAGCCCTTTATTTATTCAGCAAGATGTTCCCCATGCGGCTGAGACTGCAACCTCTCCTAAGTGTCGCCTCTCCTTCCTTCTCTCTCCTGAGCTGCTTTACAGCCTCACGTCAGCCTTTCTCCTCATCATCTTGGGGCCTCCTGGCCTCATCTCCCCATAATTGTTCTATAAGCTGCCCTACTGTTAGCATTCCAATGCTAATTGTTAGCATTCCACTCTTTATTAAATGGTGCGAAAGTACAGCACTGGATGATAAACCATATAACATTAGACACCAAACCTTCCGGGGTCACAGAGCCAGGCTTCCTGAGTGACCCTGGCAAAGATCTAGGGCTGCATGATGTCACATCGCGATGGTGCATGTGCAATAATCACCAGGGCTGAAGGAAGACTGGCATAAAAATTTGTCCAGAAACCGGCTTTTCGGTACTATGCAGATTTTTACTTACCCCCATGATTTAGTAAGCAGATTAGTAGTACGCCTAAAATATTAATGAGAGGTGTAAAGTGATGTGCAAAAGTTAGTAATCTGTGTAAATTCAGGGTATCCTCATTTTTAATAAATTAGTTTAGTAATAACTTTAAACCGCAAAAAAGTACCACCACATCACCAATGTCTATTTACCCTGTTTATCCACAATATCTCCTCTTTTAAAAGGTGTTGAGGCCGCTGAGCTGTCCTTTCATTCACTGCAACTTCAGTGCTTATTGCTTCCACGATTTTTCCCAAACAGTAGCATGTGGCGTGCTCCACTAACTAAATGTACAGTAATACGCATAAGGATCTGCCAAATTTATACATTGTATTTTATTGTGGCCATAACTAACTAGACGTCCACATAGTACCTCACCTTAACAGAAAACCAACTAATTTTTCCCTTTTCACATGCAGCACCACGTCAGCGCAATCTACTCACAGCTTACAAATACATACCAAACAAAAAAAGGAAAACAATATTATTCAATAAATAAAACAATTTACATACAAGAAAGTTAAATAAACATAATTCAATAAACAATACATTGTGTCCTTGGGACTCCTATAGCAGTATCACTACAAACAGAAAAATGAAAACAATATTAATTAATAAATAAAACAATTTATATACAAGAATGCTAACTAAACATAATTCAATAAACAATACATTGTGTCCTTGGGACTCCTATAGCAGTATCACTACAAACAGAAAAATGAAAACAATATTAATTAATAAATAAAACAATTTATATACAAGAATGCTAACTAAACATAATTCAATAAACAATAAACTGTGTCCAGTATAGTGTGTTCAGTAGTGCAGTATTCCAGAGCCTCTGGATGGGGTTACATTTGGAGAAAGCCAAAGGACGCCATCGGCCCACAGTGTCTGTTGGTGTGGGCAGCCGTCTTGTGGGAGTCATTAGGTCTGATGATGCTCTGCATGGTCCTATAACAGCCAAGGAACATGAGGCCTTTTTACAAGACCAGCTGTTCCCTGTGGCTCATACAACATTCCCTCATGATGTTCTCATTCCAAGATGATAATGCCCCCATACACCCTGCTAAACAAATTCAGGAGAGGTTTCATGAGCACCAGGATGAAGTCAGATGCCTTCCTTGACCTCCCAGCCATCAGATCTAAATACCATTAAAGCTTTATGGGAAGTTCTGGAGCACAGTGTGTGAAGTCGATTCCCACCTCCTTAATGCACCAAAGACCTGGAGGCTTTTCTTTCTGAAGATCAGTCCAATATCCCACTGCACACATCAGGATTCCATGACCACACTGTAGGAAGATCTGAAGCTATTATTGCAGCTAAAGGGGGCCGAACTCCTTATTAGGTCTTTGAAATTAATATACTGATGTTTCCATTATTTTGTCCACCCCCTGTAAGAGCCCACCCCTCAAAGATATAACAGACAAAAGTACACAGAGGGATAATGTTTAAAGGGGCCTGTTGTATGTTATGTTTATTTATTCTGTTGTTTTACATGTTTTATTGCTTTTCAGATTTTGCTCAGAAAATCCTTCTGGGAATTTTTTTCATGCTTCACCTAATATTAAGTTTCCTGTATCTAAGTCTGATTCTAGAAAATGACAAAGGTAAGGAAAACCTTTAACTGTAAGCAAACCATTTGACTGTAATAGAGCTTTAACTGTCAATCATTTGGTAAATGGTGTTTGTAAAATGTTTATAAACCAGAAATATTTTTGGGGCTGCTGTTAACAATAATGCAATATAACCATTTCTAGTTTGGAATTATTATTGAATTACAACCTACTAATAAAGGCATATACTTTGATGTAATCAATATGAAATAGACAGTAACATATTCTGTGTAAGGTGTAAAAAGGACACTTCCAAGGATGGAATGGTTTTGTTATTTAACTTGTTGTGTGTGTCTTCAGATAAAGTCAAAGTAAAAAGTTTGTGAACCCATTGGAATTTTCTATATTTATGTTTAATTCCCATATAAAACATGGTCGTATATCTTCATGTCACAATAATGAACAAACATCTCCTATAACTAAAGATGCACAGATTTTCAGAGAATTTTCGACCATATTGAATAAATCATTCAAACTGTGAAACTGACAGTTGAAAAAAGTGAACCCTAAGCTAATGACTTTTTAAAAAGCTCATTGCAGTCAGAATTTAGCAAACCTGCAGTCAATTTAATGAAAAGTTTGAGTTTGAGCTTTTGACAAGAAGCATATCCAGATGGGAATCATGCTTCACACAAAAGAGCTCTCTGTAGAGCTATGATCAAGAATTGTTAATTTACATAAGACTGGAAAGGGTAACAAAGTCATCTAAGGAATTTTAGATATTCATCACTCTACAGTGCCTGACAAAAGTCTTGTCACTTAACCAAGTTGTAGGAACAACAAATAATAACTTGACCTGTAGTTAATCAGTTGGAATCAGAAATGGCTTATAAGAAAAGGCAAAGCCCTCTAGATTATGCTTATTATACCAAAATAAAGTTTTGCATCATTC